GGTACATTGACAGGACCTTTTTGTCCAGTGAGATGAAGACAGTAACCATACATTTAGATGTCAGGGACAATATTAAATTACAAACACCAAACCAAATCCATAGCCCTCAGACTGAGTCTGACTCATATCAAACCTCTAGGACAGAGTAGAACTGGACTCCTGGTGTGGCGCTGTAGGATCACCACTGGACTGTGAACCACAAGGTTGGCAGTTCAAGCCCATCAGTCGGAACCCACTCAATGACGCTTAATGACAACAACATCATAGGGTTTTGAAGGCTGTGATCTTTATGGAAACAGGCTGCTACATCATTCTCTCATAGCACACTAGTGGATTCAAAACTGCAGATCTTTGTGTTGGCAGCTCAGTGCTTAATGACTGTGCCACCAGGCACTCTTTATTCCTGAAAGCTATCACTTTGTGTATTTGCATCATCAGTGCAGTGGCAGAAGGGTGTCAGTTACAGATCAACCTTAGAAGAGCACTGGTCTAGACTGGCTACATTTGTGTGTGTGTGTGTGTGTGTGTGAGGTCGGGACGGGTAGGAGTAAGGAGTGAGGATTAGGGTTGGCACTATGGCTAGATTTAAGGCTAGGTCTAGGACTTTGTTTATTGCTACGGTTATGACTAAGGTGAGTGTTAAAGGTAAGGGTTGGGCTAGGGCTAAGAGTAAGGCTTGGGAGTTTTTAGGGCTACTGTTAGGTGTATTTTTATTCATTTATTTTCTTGAAATCTACTTGATTTCTTCTTTATCTAGAAGTTCTATAACTGGAATTATAGCCTCTTTTTACTTTTTATTTTGTTGTTGCAAGTGTATCTCTGATTCTCTATTTTCAGTCTTATAGGTCTGCTCTACTTTGCATACTCCTATATCTGGTTGAAGGAGCTCTGGTAGTGTAGTGGTTACGAATCAGGCTGTGAACCATAAGGTCAGCAGTTCGAAACTACCAGCGCCTCTGCGGGAAAAAGATGAGGCTTTCTGCTCCTGTAAAGATTTACAGCCTTGGGTAAATCTGCTTAGGGTCGCTATGGGTCGGAACCGAATTGACGGCACTTAACAACAACAAGGAGCTCTGGTAGCATAGTGGTTACGAATTGGGCTGCGAGCCGCAAGGTCAGCAGTTCGAAACTACCAGCCGCTCCGCGGGAGAAAGATGAGGCGGTCTGCTCCTGTAAAGATTTACAGCTTCGGAAACCCTGTGTAGGGTCGCTGTGAGTTGGCACCGACTCCACGGCACACAACAACAACAACATATCGGGTTGAGTCTAGGTGACATTGCCATGTATGTTAGTCTCAGGTTGTTGTCTGCTGCTATTGGGTCTCTGTACAAAAAAACTCTCTTCCATATTTTTTATAAGATTGGTCTGATTATTTACAAATTATTTTCATTTCAGTTTGTCTGAAAATGACCCAATTTCATCCTCATATTTGATGGACAATTTTGCTGGATATATGATTCTTAGTTGGCAACTGACTTCTTTCAGAGTTTTATATATGTCATTTTCTTGCTGGCATGGTTTTTGCTGAGTAATCAATTTAGTCTTATTAGTTCTCCTTTGTAGGTAATTTTGTTTTTCCTGAGCTGTTCTTAGGACTTTTAACTTATCTTTGGTTTTGAAAAGTTTTATTATAATAAGTCTTGGAGTTTTCTTTTGGGGTCTATCCTGTTTGTTTACTTCCAACAACTCTTAGACAATATTTTCTGTTTTTTTTTTTTTTTTGTCTCTTCCTGTACCGGGATTCCTCTTGCTAGTGTCGCACATAGGTCTTAGGCTTTCTTCAGATATATTTTTCTTTTTTTCAGATGATTTTTCTAGTAGATGAATAAATATTGAGACATTTTTTCTTCAAGCTCAGTAATTTAGCTTTCCATTATTCAATTCTATTTCTTTGCCCTTTCAGTATACTATTTCTGAAGTTTTAGTGTTAATCTTCTGGCATTCGAATTGTTTTTGCATGGTTCTCACTTTTTAAATTGTTTTGTTTTCTGAAATTCCCCATAGTTTTATTTATGTTTTCCTTGATTTTATCAGCTGCTTACTTCCAACAAATGGTTTACACAATCTGTTGAAGTTGTCTAATTAGCATTCTTTTAAATTCCTTATCAGGTAGTTCTGATACCATTTCTGGTGTCATATTTTCTGACTCTGTATTTTTGTCACTTGTTTGAGGTTCTCTGTCTTGTTTCTTTGTGTACATTGAAATAGTCTGATTTCCAAGAGATCAAACCATTGAAAACCTTATGGAATGTGATTCTACTCTGTAACATGGCTATTGCCATGACTTGGAATCAACTCATTGGCAATGGGTTTAGTTTTTGATATTCTTTTCAATACTAAAATTTTGAGAAGGACTTTAATAATTAAATATATTTTTTTCATGAGATGACTTTCTACCTTTCAGCCAAACCGAAGGATGAATGAAATATGGCTTTCTAACTCTACTCACTGAAGTGTCACTCATCTGCTATACTCCTCACGGGCCTTTCTTATTGGGTGTACAATAGAGCCTAAGGAATTGATATTATTTAGTAATGCATAGAAAACCACTGTCATTGAGTCAATTCCAACTAATAGTGACCCTAGAGGACAGAGCAGAACTGCTTCATAGGGTTTCCAAGACTATAAACGATTAAGGAGCTCTAGTAGCATAGTGGTTACGAATCGGGCTGCGAACCTCAAGGTCAGCAGTTTGAAACTACCAGCGGTTCCACGGGAGGAAGTTGAGGTGGTCTGCTCCCATAAAGAATTATAGCCTTGGAAACCCTGTACAGGATTGCTATGGGTTGGAGTCGACTTGACAGCACTTAACAACAACAACAAAGTAGCGTAGTGGTTACGAATCAGGCTGCGAACCGCAAGGTCAGCAGTTCAAAACTACCAGCTGTCCCGTGGGAGAAAGATGAGGCGTTCTGCTCCCGTAAAGATTTACAGCCTCAGAAACCCCATACAGGGTCACTATGAGTTGGACCCGACTCCTCGGCACATAACAACAAATCATTATGGAAGCAGACAGTTTCATCTTCCTGCTGCTGGTGGGTTTGAACCACCAACCTGGCTATTTGTAGCCCAACAATTAACATACTGCACCACCAGCGTTTCTTTAATAATGCATAGTTAATTAATTTATAATAATGGTTAGAGAAATAATGAAATTGCCATTTAGAGAGTACCCATTTGCACGGGACTACAATAAATGCCTAAATATGTTATCTTATTCAAATCTATCAACAAATGTTACAAGACAGTTTGCTCAGGGACAGAAATTGATAGGGCTTAGATTGTAACTCAAATATGTCAGACTAAAATTGTGGTATTAGCCACTTTACTGTACGTAGGGATTTGGATCTAAGTAAAGACTGTTTTATCTTACTTTTAAGGTATACCGACAAACTAAAATGTGTGCAATAAACTGAAAAGTGTGCAATATTGGACACTTAAGGAACCCAAGGTTAGAACTTCTTGTTAATGATAGAGACACAGATGGATCCCATGACTGAATGAGTTCAGGTACCCATTCTGAATGAATCAAATTTAGTTTGTGAGGTTCTTCTGGCTACAAGGACACTAGAGTTGCATATTGGCTCTTTAATTGGGAATTAAGGATTGGTTTTGATGTCAACCCATAAAACTTGAAATACATATATAATCTGGTCACAAATGTTAGGACTAAATTGCAAATGTTTTTCAAACACACACATACATAGTCTTCCTATATCCTGATTCCGTGCCCCCCCACCCCATTTTAGTTTGCTCTTTTTTAAAAAATATTCCTTTCAATTTCTAAAATCTCTTAAATTATAAAGATAAAAACAGTTCAAACACAAATCTTTCCAAAGGGAACACGTCTAGTTATGACTACACTTAGACCATTATTTTACTGTTATTTTCGGACAATCCTATTTTCAACTAAAGCTTCAATACACTAAACTTCCAAGGTCAATTGGCTGTTTTCAGGAGCTTCTCAAGTGTTTTCAGAACACTTTGAAAAAGGGATAAATATAACCATGTGTTTATACCCAAGTTAAGAGAGTTAGCTCAAACCCTTCAAGGTTCATATATAGGAGTTTTTATAAATTTTCATTTATTTATCTTGGTATGTGAATGCTGGAGTTTCAAATACACAATTTCATACTTTATCATGAGGTTAAAAACAAATAAAGATGAGTCAAAACTCTGAAAGACAAACTCAAAGGGTTTTTTTTGTTTTCCTAAATGTTACAATGAAAAAGAATGAACGTGGAAATCGGGAAGTTACATTAATATGGACATCTGAAAATACAAACTGATTTAAGAAGCCATGATTTTACGAAGCCTTAAGACAATAAAGCGATCAGCAAAGAGACATTTGTCACAGTGAAGGAGAGCTGAGGTGATGACCAACCAGTTAAATCTAATGTAATCAGGAACTCAGGCCAGTTTAACTTTTTTTTTTTTAATGAGGTGACAACGTCCTAAAACCATAATCTCTCCTTTCAAGATGATGACACAAGGATTTAGTGAGTAAAAGAAAAAAACTTAAAACCTCTCTTTTGAGGATGAATTGTCTTATTTAGGCTAGAGGTATGCATTGAGATCCTATTATCTACTGGCACAATTGGGGAAAACACTGAGCACCAGTCTACACATCCTCCCAGCACACACGTGCGCACACACACCTCACAGACTTCTAACTAGAGCAATGTTTGTTTCTACTTAGATTACAAAATAGAATTAAAGCCCCAACTAACAACCATTCTCCTAATTTGATAAATAAAAATGTCTTTTTTCCCCCAGTGCCCCAATACAACATGAACCTGGAATTAACTGCTTTCCTTTGAATCCACTTATTTATGTATGTGTAAAAGAAGATGTGGGGATAAAGAAACTGTAGAACAGTTGGGGAGAACACATGGGCACTATATGTTGGATTAAATGGAAACTGAGTACAGAGTTACAATGAAGATTTTGTCTTTATCCTTGTTGAAACCCTTGCTATGGTCTAATAAAAATCTGGTTACCTTTACATTTCTTCTCTTCTGTTTGGAAGGTCTGGGCGCTTGAGACACTTTGATCATTCACATCGTCATGGTCCAGATGGAATATTGAGCTAGTCCAAGTGGCCTGGATGAGATGTGGAGACGACTGTTCATTTTTCAATGTGCTACGTCTCTCTGAATGGCTCTTCCTGTGTAGGCAGGCTTCAGACATTCCTCCTAGCTTCCAGTTGTGTTCTCGGTCTGGATAATGCTTCGGTTTGTCCCAGGCTGGAAGGCCATTTTCTGGAGGGTTGAAAAACACGAGATGACGAGCTGTTGGCATTGTCAAGATTTTGTTGAGATGCAGAGTTTTGGAAGGCAAGTTGTTTCTCAATTCTTTCGGGCTGACAGTATTCACACGCACCTCCACTTGACGGCAGTGATAAGATGCAGAATTTGTCAGCCTTGGGCATTTAGCCACCACAGTTGGATTGCCTGTCAGAGTAATCAACACGTTTCCCCCCTTATTTTCAGTGCATCGAAAGACGTTAGTTCCTCCACGGGAAGGCTGCACTTTTACCAGTCCTACTTCCCCAGCAATGACCTGAGAACACGGTTACCCCAATTTATGTGACTGCTTAGATGGCCATTTGAGGTCTTAAGGGTCAGCGCTGGCTGTGAACAGATTTTAGTTGCTTAGAACATGGAACATTCAGGATCTAGCCTTGTCTGACTTGGGTTTCATCACAGGTTGACCTTCGGGACACCTTGTTACTTAAGCGGGATATTCTCACGTGGCCACACAGAGAAGGACAACTCTGTTCTCCCGACAGCTAGGGGGAAAAGACCAGATCTTATAAAGAGAAATTTAGTCAATGGTTTTGTAAATGTACTCCCAAGCTGGCAATGAGATCACATGAAGGGATGTTTGGAGGAACACCAAGAGCCCTAATGTAGAATGAAATGCCCCACAATGCTTTGGTTGGGATATTGTTGCTGTCATGGTTAAATGTTGGCAAGTCAGTTCTGACTCATAGTGACCCTGTACAGGGTGTCCAAGGTGAGGCTGGTGAGTTTGAACTGACCTTGCAGTATTAGGCAGTTGAATAGTTACATATTTTATATTGCTTTCCTATTTAATTTATAGAGACTTGAAGGTTGCACCTTTAGAAAATGGGAAAAAATGAAATTAGCAGTATAATGAAAACCTTCTTACACTCATTTTCTCAGGTGGTAAATCTTACCTCTTTGAATATCTTTGCTATGTTATTGTTAAGTGCTGTTGAGTCGATTCTGACTCATAGCAACCCTGTATAGTGTTGAACTGTTGACCTTGTGGTTGAAACTGACCTTGCAATTTCATACAGTAACCCACAAATACATGGATATAAAGCAGAGTGAAAGTATGCAAGCTAATATATAACATACCCACACATATATATTGTTGTTGTTGCATGCCACTGAATCAAGTCTGACTCATAACAACCCTAGAGGATAGAGTAGAGCCGACTCATAGGATTTCCTAGGTTGGAATCTTTAATGGGGACAGACTGTCAGGTCTTTCTGCTCATGAGTTAGAGTCACTAACCTTTCAGTTAACAGCCGAGTGCTTAATCATTGTGTCATTATGGCCCCTTAGCATAGAAAAGATGGGGATTTTCTTTTATGTGGAAATTACCAAAAGGCTATGGATACTCATATCTCTGGTACTTAAGAGAGCCAAGTCCACCCTGATCTGGGCACAATGCACAGAATTTTAAACTTACTTTCAAACTTTGCAAATGATTTTTAAATTATTTAATACAAGGACTAAGGACGTCTTTATTGTTTGTTGTCATTAAGTACTGTTGAGTAGATTCTGACTTGTAGCGGCCCTGAATAGGGTTTCCAAGGAGTGGTTGGTGGGTTTGAACTGTAGATATTGTGGCTAGCAGTCCAGTGCTTATCCTATAGTGCCACCTCAGGACTAGTGTAGGGCATCAATGTTTGGATGAAAGATGCTGAGAGGGATTCTAACACTATGGGAACACTCCCCTTAAAGCTCAGTTTAAGGCTTACTTAGCATATCACCTGGGCCAGAAGAGGTGGGTTTCTTCTGTGCAAGAGAAGTTATGTTTAGGATGGGTAGGAGATAGTATTGCTTTCTACTTTCCTAAGAAAAGGCACTGAGATGTTTTGAGAAAAGGTCTCCATTCATGGGAGGCATTTACAAGCTCATAATTACTGTCTGTAATTACATTCATGATAATGATATTCAGTTACTTAATTGGCAGCTTTATTAGTTGGGGCATTTCTGGGAAACCTGGGCACTGAGTAGTCCCAGTTGGGTCATGAGAAAACTCAACAGGGATTTATTTAAGGAGGATTCTTGATTCTATCTTTCCAAGAACAGGAAGACATATGCAATTTCTATTTCATTCCCAAGGAGGGCTGAGACACCTGCTGTTCCAGGCTCCTTCCACTTGCTCTGGTGGAGCTTCTGTGGTTAAGAGAACTGTCCCAAGTTTTCCAAATACATATGATCAGCAGTAATGTTTACCAAGTCTTTTTTTTGCTATGTCTATTGCTGTTGGTTCTCTCCCAAAATGAAACCAATGGGACATTTCTTTTTTGAAGAATCAAAATTCTGAAAGGTTAGGTCACTTGTTCTCAAACTTTTCTTGGCAAGTGAATCAGCTGTGCCAAGGCTTATTGAAGTACATTGGACCTGAATATTCATAACTTTACAAAGTCCTCCAGGCGATTCTGATATACAATAGAATTTGGGATCCACATGGCTAAGGAACAAATCTAAGGTAGGGAAAACAAATGATTGGCAGTTTTTGGATAAGTACTTAAGCACCAATGCTATCACAAAGCTTGAGAATATGTTGTTGTTGTTGTTGTTAGATGCCATCTGGTCGATTCTGACTCATAGCGATCCTGTGTATAACAGAGGAAAACACTGTCTAGTCCTGTACCATCTTTACAATTGTTAATCTTGAGTCCATTGTTGCTGCCATGGTGACAATGCATCTTGTTGAAGGCCTTACTCTTTTTTTTTTTTTTTGACCCTCACTTTACCAAGCATGATTTCCTTCTCCAGGGACTGGTCCTTCTTGACAACAAGTCCAAAGTATGAAAGTCTTGCTATCCTTGCTTCTAAGGAGCATTCTTGCTGTACTTCTTCCAACACAGATTTGTTTGTTCTTCTGAAAATCCATGGTATTTTCAATATTCTTCACCAACACCTAAATTCAAATGCACCAACACTTCTATATTCATTGTCCAACTTTCACATGTATAGGAGGTGATTGAAAATACCATGACTTGGGTCAGGCACACCCCATTCCTCAAAGTGACATCTTTGTTCTCTAATACTTTAAAGACTCTTTTGCAGCATATTTGTCGAATACAGTATGTCTTTTGATTCTTGACTGCTGCTTCCATGAGTGTTAATTTGGATATAAGCAAAATGAAGTATTTTACAACTTAAATCTTCTCTTTGTTTATCTATGATGTTGTTTACTACTCCAGTTTTGAGGATTTTCATTTCCTTTGCATTGAGGTGCAATCCATATCGAAGGATGTAGTATCTGATCTTCATCAGTAAGTATTTCAAGTTCTTTCAGCTTCCAGCAAGCAAGGTTGTCTTCTGCATATCTCAGGTTGTTAATGAGTCCTCCTCCAATCCTGATGCCACATTCTTCTTTATATGATACAGCTTCTCAGATTAACAGTTCAGCATATGGATTAAATAAGTATGGTGAAAGGATACAACCTTGCCACAACTTTTCCTGATTTTAAACCATTTACTATCCCTTTGTTCTGCACTTGGTATGTGTACAGGTTCCTTGTGACCATAATTAAGGGTCTGAAATTCCCAATCTTTGCAATGTTATCTGTAGTTTGTTATGATCCACATAGTCAATAAAGCACAATAAACATCTTTCTGGTATTCACTGCTGTCATCAGAGACCCATCTGAAGTCAGCAAGGGTATCCCTTGTTGCACATCCTCTTCTGAATTTGGCTTGAATTTCTGGAAACTCCTTGTTGATGTATTGTATTCATTTTTGAATTATGTTTAGCAAAATTTTAATTGCATATGATATTAAAGGTATTGTTCTGCATTCTGTTGGGTCACCTTTGTTTGGAATGGAAACAAGTACAGATATTTTCCAATCACTTGACCAGCTAGCTATCTTCCAAATTTCTTGGCATAGATAAGTGAGTGCCTCTAGTACTACATCAGTTTGTTGAAACATTTCAATTTGTGTTCTGTCAATTCCTGGAATTTTATTTTTTGCCAATGCTTCAGTGCAGCTTAGGCTTCTTCCTCCAATACCATCAGTTTGTAATAACATGGTATCTCTTGAAATGCTTGAACACCAACAAATTCTTTTTGGCATGGCAACTATATATTTCTTCCATCTTCTTTTGATGATTCCTTTATCATTCAATGGAATCCTGGTGTGGCACTGTGGGTTAATGCACTGGACTACAAGGTCATTTGAACAGCAAAGTCAACAGTTCAAACTCACCAACCACTCCTCACAGACCCTATATAGGGTCATTATGAGTCGGAACTGACTCAACAGCACTTAACAACAATACTATATCATTCAATATTTTGCCCATAGAATCCTTAAATATTGCAAACTGAGGCTTGTATTTTCTTTTTAGTTCTTTTAGCTTGAGAAATGCTGACTGTGTTCTTCCACCTGGAGTGTTTTCTAACTCCAGGCCTCTACACTTTCCATTATAGTACTTGACTTTGTCTTCTTGAGTTACCCTTTGGCATTTTCTATTCATCTTTTTTACTTCATCATTTAATACAGTTGTTTTTGCTTCTCTGCATTCAAGAGCAAGTTTCAGAACTCTTCTGACATTCATTCTGATCTTTTCAATGAACTTTTGCTTTCTTCATACATGATATTCCTGATGCCATCCCACAACTCTTCTGTTCTTTGGTCATTAGTGTCTAATGCATCAGATCTGTTCTTGAGATGATCTGTAAATTCAGGTGGGATATACTGAAGGTTATATTTTGGCTCTCATGAATTTGTTTTAATTTTCCCAAGTTTCAGCCTGAATTTGCCTATGAGCAAGTGATAGCTTGTTCCACAGTCAACCTATGACTTTGTTTTGACTGATGATGTTGAACTTTTTCCATGTGTCTTCTCACATATGTAGTCAATTTTATTCTTGTAAATTCCATCTGGTATATAGTCTCCATTTATATTGTTGAATAAAAGTATTTGCAATGAATAAGTCATTAGTCTTACAAAATTCAATCATGTCATCTCTAGCATTGTTTCTATC